CCACCCACCAGCCCGGAAGTGAATTTCCATCAGTCACGAAATCTGGCCCTTAGTTGTGTCTTTGATTGCTCCCCTTAGCCAAGGATTTTATTTGCCACTTGCTGGAGAAGGACCCGAATGAACGGTACACCTGTGAGAAGGCCTTGAGGCACCCCTGGTGAGTGAGGATGGGGTGGGCGCTGGACCCTAGCCTTTTGCTTCCCCAGATACCATGATGACTCATTCATGTGGTGTTTCCCGAGAGTCTGCTTGCCCTGAGCTCTATACTCTTGCAGCATCCAAGGAGCATAGACGTGTCTACCTGGTGCAGCTAGAAATGCAAACAGCATTTAGTGAAGTGGGTTCTGACCCAAGCGTGGCAACTGCATCATCTAGTCAAGAACAGGAGACACACGCAGCCAGGCACTGTCATCAGGACTAGGATGCAACCCTTAGTACCAGCCGTGCCAGAGGCACCGGCCAGAGGCAGTTCCCCCCTGTCCTTAAGAGCATGGGTACGAGTGAGGCGATTTGTGATGAATCACAAAGCAGCCAATCAGTAAACTCATAAATTAAGTCTTGAAATGCTTGACTTTTTTTCGTGCGACAGCCCTGCTCAAGATTCTCAGTAGCTCCCCACTTCCTACTACAGCAAGCCTAGATTCCTTTGCCTTCCCAGGTTTTCCCCATTCTGGCCTGACCCTTTACCTCCGACTTTATTTCCCCAAATTCCCGACATACCCTCTCTGTTCCAGAAAGGCCTAAGAGCTGCATTTCTCTTCCTGCTCTCCCCTCCCCCAAATACCAAGCTCTTTCCAACCTACACCTTGGGTCATACCATTTTCACCACCTCTTGCCTTGTATGCAGCATCCTTCAGGATCCGGAGCAGTTTCTGCCCTTCCCTCATGTCCTGGCCCCTGCAGGCCACGTACCCCTCCTCACTTCTCTTTATCAGTCACACAGCTTATGTGAATTGCTCTAGTTTGCGGCACGGAACAAGGCTCCACACCTACCCTTGAAAGCCCCAGGGATCAGGGCAACATCTGTTACTTCTCTGAGTCCCTAGTACCTAGAAAGTACTGTGCACGTGTCTAAGTAACACTTAGGGATGGATGACAAGGAAAATGGCAGCCTGTATGGGGTGGCCTCCTTCAGGAAGGCTTCCAGGAGGAGATGGGTTTTGAGCTGATGGAGAGGGACACCCCAAGCACTCTTTGACAAGGGCTGGTAAGCCTTTTTGTGAAAAGCGGGCTAGGAAGTATCTTCTGACTGTATCATCTCTATGGCAACAACTCAGTCTGCCCTTATTGCACAGAAGCAGCCATAGTTCATACCTGAATGAACGGGCAGGTCTGTGGCCTAGTGAGACCTATTTACAAAACTGGACAATGGGTAGATTTGGCCCACAGGCCATAGTTTGCCGACCCTGCTAGAAAACAAGATTTTGGTTTTGCCAGAGCACAGGCCCCCTAATGACCTGCCCATGGGGACAGGGGAACCAAGGCTCCAGCCCATTCCTAGGGTGGGTCACCCTTCTTCTGAGTTCACTCGGCTTAACGAGGACCTGCATGCACAGCTCCCTGCCCAACTCCTGGCTGAGTTCCCACAGCCGCCCACTAGCCAGGTGTCCCTTCTACATCTACAGGATCAATGGAAACACAGCCCTCCACCGAGACATCTACCCATCAGTCAGTCTCCAGATCCAGAAGAACTTTGCCAAGAGCAAGTGGAGGGTAAGTCGCCCTTTCTGGGAGGCAGGCAGGCTCTTCAGGGCCCCTGGAGGCTGAGCTGGGGCAGGACTCAGCTCTGGGGCAGAGGCTGAGCTAGTGGAGGGGCTGTCCTTGGGGCTTCCCAGCAGACACTGGAGCACCCTGGACCCTCTCTGAAACAAGTGGGCACATTAGCTTCAAGGAGCCACAGGGCAAAGGGAAACCTTGAGCCCCGCGGCCCTCTGGAAACAGAGGTGGCCAGAGGCTGCTCTTGTGTGTCCTTAGCAAGCCTTCAATGCAGCCGCTGTGGTGCATCACATGAGGAAGCTGCACATGAACTTGCACAGCCCAGGCATCCACCCAGAGGTGGAGAACAGGCCACCTGTCACTCAAGCCTCAGAAGCCTCCAGGCCCAGCTCCTCTGAGATCACCATCACCGAGGCGCCTGCCCTGGACCAGAGTGGCCCACTTCCGGCCCTGCCCCAGCTGCCCTGCCAGCACAGCCCCCGGACTGCAGCGCCTGGTGGCAGGTCCCTCAACTGCCTGGTCAACGGCTCGCTCCGCATCAGCAGCAGCCTGGTGCCCATGCAGCAGGGGCCCTTGGCTGCTGGGCCCTGCGGCTGCTGCTCTAGTTGCCTGAGCATCGGGGGCAAAGGGAAGTCCTCCTACTGCTCTGAACCCACACTCCTCAAAAAAGCCAACAAAAAACAGTACGTATTTTCAGCCAAAGACAGAGGCCTAGCCCTGCTCAGGCAAAGGGGCTGAAAGACCAGGGAAGTGGCTCTGCAGGGTGGGAAGAGCTCTGGGTCAGGGGTCAAGGGAAAGGCCTCCGGTCTTGTCCCTCTCACTAGCTGTGTGCCTATGGACAGACCAGGCAGGCTCTGTTTCTGGCTCGCTCATCTGTAAAATCCTACCCACCTGCTCAGCCTGCCTCACAAAGGTCCTTAAAAGTTTAGTGAAGCAACTGGAATGCTAAATGCCTGCAGAAAACTGGGCACATGTGAGTGACAGGCACTAGATTCCTTGACTTTCCAGAACCACTATGTTGTGGGGGAGAGGGGAGTGGGGCTTCGTTGTCATCCTGGTCCTTTCTGCAAGGGCTTATACTTTCCAAACCCGACAAAGGGAGGCCCGAGTAGAAGCCGCAGTCATGGAGAACTGCCTAGCTCTTCTTCCTCAAATGCTTCACAGCCTGCTGCCTCCTTTGCTTTACAGGAACTGTAAATCAGAGGTCATGGTGCCAGTCAAAGCCAGCGGCAGTTCCCACTGCCGGGCGGGGCAGACTGGAGTCTGTCTCATCATGTGATCCCTAGAGTCCACACCTGTGTCAGTTTTCAGGTGAGACGACCAGAGGCGGGAGGGCTGGGGCAGGGGGCTCAGGGAGTGTCTGGCCCGGAAGGAGAGCCCCATCACAGAGTCTGAACGAAGGGATCCAAGGGGCACCAGAAGCCGCAGGCCCACCCCCACCCCGAACCCCTTTCGTCCGCAGGAGAGATGGTCATCTCTTCTCTATCCTTCCAAACCCGGAGCCCACCTTGCAGCGGGAGGAAGGCGGAGCACGTGGAGCAGGGCCTGGCAGGAGTGGTTTATGGTCACGGTCATAAGCAGCATGCCGCCACCGCCCGGGGCAGACCCTCACGGAAGGCCCAGCACTGAGCCCCAAGACACGGAGGCCCCGTTGAAGCTGTGGGCAGGAGGGCGGCACCCACCCGTCCCCAGGTCTCCCTGACCTGCCTGCTCTGCGCCCCCACACCCGCGTGCTGTGGCCCCGTGCAGTGTACTAGGTAGCCCTCGCCTGGGTCTGTGTTGTTTGTGATGAAAAGCTCCATGGGCTGGCCAGGCTGTGTCGCCTTCTCCGAGCAAAGCCATATGGAACATCAACCCAGACTCCCGCTCAGCACATACTCGCCCCTGCCTCCCAGGCCTTTGTCCTCAGGGCCAGAATGGGCTCATTAATGTAGTTGCTTGCCCATCTGCATGAATGACAGGCAGCTCTGTGGGCCGCCTGCAAGCTCTCCAGTTCCCATCCTTGACTCTAGGATTAGCTCCAACTGGGCTGAGACCCAGCCAGCCTGCCCTGGCACACTTCTGAACCACCTCCCTCCCTGCCCCGGGCCAAAAGCAGCCCCACGGCCTCTAAGGTGAAAAAGAAAGAAATCAATGATTAGGTAGTGCAAGCAATCCTTTCCCTGACCACGATGCCCCATCTGCACCCAATGAAGTACAAATTGGAAGTTGACTGTTTTCATTTCAGGTGGTTAATTCTCTCCCTGCTTCTGCTCTTCTTTCTCTCCCTGGAAATTGGGGACATTATTCTTGTCCCTCCCTAGTTTTCTTGGACCCCGCCCCCTCCAGCTTCCTGCTCGGTGTTGTGCTCAATAAAATGAACATATTTTTCTCTATGAGCCTTCATTTGGTTCTTCTCAAAGTCAGCAGTGGCTCCAGGACTTCTGAACCCATGCTGGGTGGAGGGCCTGGGGTCTGGCAGGGTGGTGGCTGGGGCAGACGGGGAGCATAAAGTGTGCCACGTACTTAGTGACATGAGTTTTGCGTACTAACTCATTTACTCCTCAGAACAACCCTCGGGGTAGGCTCTGTGGTCCGGCTCCAGCCATTCATTCTCCTAATGACTGTAGTAATGATCATGAACTGAAAGCCCAGCTCAGCCCTGCCCTCTGCCTCATCTGTGGCCTTGGGGGAGTGACACAGCCTTTTGTGCCTTGGTTTCCTCATTTGTCAAATGTTAACGGCAGCATCACCCACATCGTGAGATAATGCAGCCGATGTTTCTAGCACGGTGCCCAATAAATAATTACTGTGATTAATAAAAAGTTAATGTAGGTAAAATGCCTAACACATTGCACAAGCCGTGGATAGCACACCAACGTTCATGCCATTTCCATATGTACCACACACACACATACACAGACACACAGTTACACATCCATTTGCAACTTCTCTTTGAGATCCCAAGAGACAGATTCTGCCTCTGCAGCTGGGTGAATTTGGAAACAATACTTCCCTTCTCCGGATTTCTATTTCCTCATCTGTAGATGAGGAATGGGATTGCTACTCAAAGATGAAAACAGTTGGTCAGGTCTCTCAAGGATGGCATCCACTGGGTCCTGGGGCAAACCTGAGTTTGGGTGACGAGCAAGCTGTCCTGAGCAAAGCAGGCAGCCCATGCTTCCTACACCCTGGGCATGAGCACAGGGGCACCCAGGAACCCCACGTGAGAGACAGAGACAAGTGACAAAGCTTTACTAGATGGGGAGACAGACCGTTTTATGAAACTCTTTCAACCTGCAGACTTCTTTCCAAAGATTTTTATTGGACTTTTCATTTGTACATCATTTTTTGTTAAGTTTTTGTGTCCAACCAGGACTCAGCCTCAGTGGAGGATGAAGGGCATGGGCGCTGCCCAGCTAAGCTCCCTGCATGTGAGAGCTCCGCTCCTCATCACAAAGGCATGGCCACCTCCAGCCTCTCTGTCTCTCAAATGTAGTTTCCCATCAGCTCAAGCTCAGCTGCAGCCCAGAACAGTCTTAACAGCTGCACCCCAGGGGTGGTCCATGCTGTGCTTTCAACTGTGTAAAAGTCTCTTGGAGCTGGAAAGTATTCCAACCCAGTCTGTCCTCCAAAAGTAAAGAGGGCAGACGAGCAGGGCCAGGGACTGGGAGCTGGCACGTCACTTACAGGTGGCATAATAGAGCACACGCCCATTGATGTGGTCTCGGATCTGTTCCACGTGCTTCTCCAGCCCCGTCAGGTCTGCCGAGCGGAGCTCAATGGCCTGGCTCCCCCGAAGCAGCTCCAGCTCCATGTCTGAGGACAGACGGGACAGCAAGGGGAGAGGAGGCACTGGTGAGATGCCAAAAGACGCCCAGCCCTTCTCCCACCCACTTGGAGGCAGAGCCCACAGGAGAAGTCACCTGTGGGGGAGCCTCATCACTAAGGCAAGTTATCTCCAGCCTCCTGGCTCTCCCCGCCCCCACGCCCCCATCCCACTTTAGAGAAACCAGACCCAGGAAGCCCCTAGCCTCCCCCTCTGCTCTCGGCAGAGCAGTTGTCCCAGACTCATGAGGGAGGTCACTGGCATGACCTCACTGGCATGAAGATTACCAACCTACTACTACTGGACTCAGACACTACCATCCCACCGATGGTCCTCAAGTGGACACCCGGCTGGGGGACCAGAATTTCTCCGCACCTTCCCTCCCCGACGTACCACCCCCAATAAACCTTGTCCTGCTCCCCACCCAGGTCTGTTCTGCACACTGCCACCGGATCATGCAGAGGATGTGGAAGACAGCCTGTCCCTCCTGTCACCCCAGGCAAGAGGCCCCTCTACCACACTCCTGAGAGCTGGCACCCAGCCTCAGCCTGAACTTCTCTAGGAATAGGGAGGGAGCACATTGCCTCACAGGGCTCCAACCTCAGGCAGCTCTAGCTGTTAAAATAGTCTTCTCATGAAGCTGGAATCTGACCACTTCTTGCTCCCACCCAGTAGTCTCAGGTCTGTCTCCTAGGGCTATGGGAATGTATCTGCTCTGTCTCCCACATGGAAGTCCTTCAAATGTCTGAGGCCACATCTTCTCAGATTAAATCTCCCTAGTTCCTTCACCCATTCTTCATCTGATATGATTATGGAGCCTTCTGTAACCCCCAACTCTGGTCACTCTTCCTCTGATATGTGCAGGCTTGTCAATATCTTTTCTGAGGCTATAGAAGCCACCACTGAACACCATCCACCAGGTGAGATCGCACCAGCAGAGTGAAACAGGGCCATTACTGGGCTGACATTCAGTCAGTGGGCACCCATATGGACCTATGGATTGATCAAATATTCCCGTAGGAATTATGTTCCCTGGTCTTCTCCCCCAGTGGAGGCCACTATGCATGATCTTCCCCCAAATCCTACAATTAAAAGTAAATTCCTGGGGTGCCTGGGTGGTTCAGTCACTCAACAACTGACTTCAGCTCAGGTCATGATTTCATGGTTTGTAGGTTTGAGCCCCATGTCGGGCTCTGTGCTGACAGCTCAGAGCCTGGAGCCTGCTTGGGATTCTGTGTCTCCCTCTCTCTGCCCCTCCCCCACTCACTCTGTCTCTCTCTGTCTCTCAAAAATGAATAAATGTTAAAAAAAAAAAAAATGAATTCCTGCAGACAGGTAAATGCTTGCTCCATCACTACAACCTTTCCTGGTTGGTAGATGCGTGACCCACCTCTACAGGGCAGGACACGTCTTGTGAGCATCTGCATTCCCCAGGCCCCATCACCGTGCCTCATAGTCCTCATAGTCCTAGGTGCTCAGGAAGTGCCTTCTGGTCTCGCCCTCTCATCACTGCTCACTCTGACAAGGGTGGGCCTCAGAAGCCAGGGGTTGGGACCAGCCACCTGGGATGCCCAGGAGTCGGAGCCCCAGGACCAACCCCTCACCTTTCATCCTGTCCATCATCTCCATGGTCTCCCCAAACAGCTCCTCTGCCTCCGTCTTGACGCTCAGGATCCGGCTGCCCTGCTCCCCCAGCGTGGGGCTCCGACCCAACTGGTCCTTCAATTCAGCGTATTTTTGCTTTATTCTCTCAAATCCCTGAAAAAAGTCAAACAGTCTCAGTGTCACCATCACCATCATCCAAAGTCCTAAAGACCTTTGGCTAACGCACTTGATACCATCCAGATCAACACACAGGCACGAGGCACCTCCTGATACTCCCCAGAGGGTTACTTTTGACCAGGAAAACCCTAGGCCAGGAACCATGTCTTAAATTTCTTCTGTATTTCCCTCCTTCCAGCTGCAGCTCCTGTCACTTCCTGCCTAACTTCCCACACGGTGCCGGGCACTTAGGCGCCACGTAGCAGTATACTTGGTCCTGGGACCATGAGAACCAAAGTTCCTGGTACACTGGAGATCCAGACCAGGGGTTTTCTGATCACCTCTCTGACATAATCCTGACAATGATGGGGCCCGGCTTAGGTTAAGTCAAGACTGCCTCTCTGGGCTGGGTAGCCACGACAGGAGGACAAGTTCTGGAATGGGTATCAATGGACCTGCTTTGTGGGTGAGCTTTGGGCCTGGACAAAGTTACCCCTCCATCTGTAAATGGGGAGGGACTGGATAGATCATTCGCAACACCCCCAAACCAGCTTCTGAAAGGTGGCCGGAGGTAAAGTCCTGAAGCCCTTCCTGATGATTCTAGAATGACATGTTGGAATTGCTTTCGAGCACAGGGTCTCACAAAGCATACCGAGTCCTCTCCTGCTCTGGACCCTCACCCTGGCTGGGCTGCCTGGGATGAAGTGTGTCTGCTCATACCTCCTGGGCGCTCAGCGCCTGCTGTTCCGCGCCTTCTGCGAGCTGCTGGGCCTGAGCGGCCTGTGCCCGCTGCTGCCTGGCCTGGAGGCGGAGCCCCTCCAGCCGTGCTCGGAAGTCACCCAGCTGCGCCGTCATGCCGGCCACCAGTCTTTCCGCTGGCCCCAGCACCTGCTGAACCTTTGTGGGGAAAGGGTTGTGGTGGGTCTCACAAGCCGGGGCCTCGTGCTCCCCCTGCCCAGCTCGTCAGGCAGGGATAACTCTCTCCAACCAGGATGCTGTACTGTCCCCCTGCCGATTCCCTATCTGCCCCCTGGGGCCCCTCCCTCTCCAGCTCAGCTGCCCCCTGCCGTCACTGCAGCCCAGAGCCCACCCCTGGCCATCTGCACCCAGCCATAGGACCAGGAAACCAAGGGCTCAAAGCCCAGAGCCCATAGTCCTCCGTCTCTAGCTCCCCATCCATGTCACTTTCTGGCACTTTGTATGCCTTATGCCTTATGTCTCTTCATTCCCAAATACTGGGGAAGAAAGCCACACCCCCTCACCTCAGCAACTCTTTCCTGGATAAGCCGAAGGGAGCGGCTGGTGCCCTGCATGGTGTCCTGAGCCTCCTGCAGTGCCAGCGTGCCCTGGCGCAGGTTCCCCACCACGTCCTCCACCTGGCCCTCCACCACGTGGGCTCGGCTCCTGGGGACCGAGGAGTGGAGGAGAGAGAATGAGTGAGCTCCAGCAAATGAACAGGTGTGTGGCTCAACTTGCAGCGGTTCAAGAGAACATCCTTCCCAGCCAAGAGGAATCAGGGAAGATTAACCCAGTAGCTTGTCCATCCCAGGGCCCCACTGAGCAGACATGGCATGAACGTGAGTGTTATGTCTGAGATACCCTTCGGGCAGCTTCCACTATGGAAGACAGCGTCATGTGAGTAATGTTTACCGTGGATGCTGTTTATCACCTCACCATCCCCCCCCCCCACGGCAAGCACCCCACCTGTCCCCCAGCCCTCTGCACCCCTCAGCATATACAGATTCTCTTCCCTCTACCAGCAAACAAAGGAGCTGGGGAGCACATTACCAGGCCAACCCTGAGCAGGGAGAAGCTCGGGGCCCAGGGCCGTACCTGGCCTGCTCAGCCTCAGCCTGGAGCCTGCGAGCCCGAGCAATGTCCTGCTTGGTCTGAGACAGCACCAGGTCCACATTGGGTAGCCTGGCCGCGATGGCCTGGATCTCATTCATCTTCCGCAGGACTGTGGCGGAGTCTGTGGGCAGCCACAGGGCCAGCACGGCCTCGCTGACCTCCTGGATGGTGGCTGCATCGGTGTCGGGGTCTAGAAGACAAGCCGTCCATCAGACTGGTGGGGGCCTAGCCTCCCAACGATCAGGGGTTTCTCCAGGCCAAGCAGCGCCTTGGGAAGCACCACGGTGACCTCTGGGCCCTGGCTGCCCACCCAGCTGCCGTGCCCTCTCAGGCACACTCAGGTGGCCATTCTCAGAGTTTCGGGAAACGCTGTGGGCAGATGACTGTGGACACAGCTGTGGCAGCTACGTGTCTGGTGCCACAGGAAACTGCAGACTGGCGGGAAGGAGGCGGTGCCGGCCAGCTGGTGCTGCACAATGCCTGGAGCACAGATATCATCAGCCCTGAACTGGGGAGAGCAGCCAGCAGCCAGAACTGCTTCCTTGGCAGTAAGGCCCCTTCCACGGGCCCCTCCTCGGGCCAAAGCGCTCATTTTCACAAAGGCAGAGAAATATTGCCAGGTCCTTGCTCAAACGTCACCTTCTTGGACAGGCCAACCCTGGCCATCCAATCTAGTGTCACCACCTTCACCCTATGCCGACGCCCCTTATCCTCCTTCTCTGCCTTATCTTTCTCCTTAGCATCTATCATTTCCGACGTGCCGAACCCTTAACTCACGTCTCTGGTTTTCTATGTGTTACCCTGCTCAAAGCTCCATGATGACGGGGGCTGGGTGTTGTCTGTATCCCCGCCCCCGCCATGGCCCCTGGCCCCTGGACGCACTTGGTGTTTACAGAGTGAATGAATTGCTGAAAGACCTCCAGACCCAGGCCTCCCCTATACTATTCAAGCAAACTGGGACAAGTCAAATGGCTTCTCTAAGCTCAGTTTCTAGATCTGTGAAATGGAAATAATGATCCCCAACCTGAAGGGATGAAAAGAAACAATCAGCAAGGGTCTTACAAACCAACTCTGGGTCAGGGAATAAGGTCAGAAGTAGAGGTACCATCTCCTCCCTATCGGTCCCGTTCACTTTTACAGATTCCAGGTATTGACGTGGGAGGAGAGGGAGCACCTGCCCACGCAGACGCTTTGTCCTGGGACCTGGGGCCAGCATGTGGGGAACTGAGACTGCAAATCAAATCAGACTCAGTCCCTGTCCTTACAGAGCTCAAAACCTAGTGGGACAGACAAACACATAACAAGGAGGGCCAGCCTGAGAGATGAGGGTGAGCATAGGGTGCTCAGACAGCCCCTGGAGGAGCACCTAACCCTGTCTGATGGGCCCGAGGAGAGGGGGGATCAGGGGGGTTCCTGGAGAGTGGGCCATCTAGAGGATTCTCATAGGGGGAGTAGAGATGAGCCAGGTCAGGAGAGGTGGGGCAGGTGAGCAATCCAGGAAGAAGTAAAACATTAAGAAAACAGTGTGTGTGTTCATAGCAGCACTCTCCACAATAGCTAAAACATGGAAAGAGCCTAAGTGTCCATCAACAGATGAATGGATCAAGAAGATGTGGTTTATCTATACCATGGAATACTACATGGCAATGAGAAACAATGAAATCTGGCCACGTGTAGCAACATGGATGGACCTTGAGGGTGTTATGCTGAGCGAAATAAGTCAGGCAGAGAAGGACAAATATCATATGTGTGCACGTATAGGGGGATTAGGAGGAACTTGACGGAGGAACAAGGGGGAGAAGAAGGGCGGAAACGGTGGGGGGAAGGGAGAGAGGCAAACCATGAGAGACTCTTGAATGCTGACAAAAACTGAGGACTGAGGGATGTGGGGGGGAGGGGGGGATGGGCATAGAAGAGGACACTTATGGGATGAGCATTGAGTGTTATGTGGAAACTAATTTGACAATAAACTATTTGTAAAAAAAAAAAAGAAAAAGAAAACAGTGTGTGTGTGCATGTGCATGTGCGTGCATGTGTGCGTGTGTTTAGCAGTTCAATAATCTACAGTGTGGACAACAATGAGAAGAATCCCACCTGCATCCCCTCCAAGCTGGACGCCCTTAGGCAGGTTACTTAACCACCCTGTGCTTGGAGTCCTCTGCTGCAAAGTGGTAGGCAGTCACGATTAAATAACCTAATACCTGTGAGGCACTTAGACCAGTGCCAGGCACTTAGTAAGAACTCAATAAGCCAGAGCTATTTTTGTTAATTCCATTTGAAAACCTGGGAAAGACCACATGTCCCCCTTCCTCCACGGACCTTCCACGCATCCCACGCACCGACCCTGTGCACAACACTGGTACTTGAGCTTCCCACACAGTGCTCTAGAGACCAAACCAATTCCTGCAGGCACTGCGGGAACCATCCGGGGCCCTTCGCAGGGGCAGGCCTCTCCCACGCCCTGTGCCTTCTGCTTGCCCCTGGTCCTGTCAAAGTTAAAGCACTTGACCTGAAGCACACGTATAACATAGAAAACAAAAGGGTCGTCGCAGCCCAGTGACTCCCTGCCTGTTCATGGGAGCCTGGGATGCACCCCAAAGAGAAAAGTCGTACTCGCCTCCCTACCCCCTAGCCGGGGCTGACATCATTCAGCCTCAGTGGGATCTGCTGGGGGGAAGATTTCCTTATCTGTGAGTCTGAGCCCCAAACTTTGGCCTGCCCCTTTATGCATGTTCATCTCTCTCTCTCTCTCTCTCTCTGTCTCTCTTTTCTTTCTTAATGTTTATTTGAGAGAGAGAGAGAGAGTGTGTGTGTGTGTGTATGTGAGCAGGGGAGGGGCAGAAAGAAAGGAAGACAGAGGATCTGAAGCAGGTTCTGTGCTGAGAGCAGAGAGCCAGATGCAGGGCTCAAAACTCATGAACCATGAGATCATGACCTGAGCTGAAGTCAGAGGCTTAACCTACTGAGCCACCCAGCGCCCCTGTCCATGTTTCTTGAGCACCATTTCCCTACATCCATTCCTCCCCATTCTGAGGTTCCCTGGGAGTCTGACCTCAGCCTGGCCTCAGGCACCATGGCTCCCAACACATCCTCCCTGTCTCTCTCCCACCTGCCTGTCTGAAGGAAAGGCACTGCAATAGTAGCAAGAAGTGGCCTGTTGTAACACCAAGCCCTCAGCTCCTATTAGCTGGGCTCCCAGCCAAGCAAATTCCCTGGCAGGGACCAGAAAGCTAACAATATCAACTCGTATTCCTGAGGCAACTTTAATTTTTCAAAACACATTTTACATCAGTGACTAGATCCCCAGTAGTGCATCTACGATCCCAGTTTGCAGAAGTGAAAGGTGAGGCAAAGAGAAAAGCGACCTGCTCAAAGTCACAGGTTTCCTGGGTCCTATCCAGGAATCTCTCCACTCCCGGGGCGCCAAAGAGGGGATCTGGTTCATTTATTCATTCAACCAACAGGGGGTCTTTTTCTGTGTCTGGCCTTTCTGTGCAGTGACACTGAATACGGCCAGCAGCTGTCCCTGCCCTCCTGTAGTTTAGAGTCCAGTGGAGAGACAGACCTTATGCCCCTAGACAAATGAATTCAGCAACCACAGGCTCGGAGCAGAGTGATGAAGGTCAGATGCAGGGGGCAGTAAGTGGGGTGGGGACCAGATGGGGTGGTCAGAAAAGGTGCCTCTGATATTTAAATTGAGACCATGAGGGATAGAATTGGCAGCCTCAGAAAGAGCACTCTGGGCAGAGAACGAGCAAGTTCAAGTCTCTGAGGTGGATAAGAGTCAGCCTGTTCAAGGACGGGCAGTGAGCAAAGCAGGGCACATGCAAGGCCACACCCAGGAGGTGAGCAGAGGCCACAGTAACTCCAAGAATGAGGGGAAGCCAGTGAGGGATTTGAAGCATTTTTCAAAGATGTTTTAGGTTGTTCTGTTGAGCGTGAACTGTAAGGGAGCAGGGGTGGGGGAGGGAGAACAACGGAAGGGCTGTGGCGGCCATCCAGGTGAGCGGTGGGCACCTGGCCCAGGTGGCCTGGAGGCCAGGGAAGGAGGCGGCCAGCTGATACACTGCATCGGGCACAGGGAATGGAGGCCATATCAGGCCACAGAAGAGGAAGAGCCAGGCTCACCTGACAGGAAGTCCCGGACTTGCTGGATGAGGAGCCTCATGCGCCTGACATCTTCCTCCATCTGGGAGCGGCTGGTGCTCACCTGGGTCTCCAGGCGCTGAGCGTCTGACTGCACCTTCGAGGCGGCCTCCTCGGCGGCCCTGATCTGCCAACACACACTATGGGTCAGCAGCTATCAAGGCCCCACGAGAGCCTCTCAGCAGCCCTCAGGGATTCTGTGGACACCCACTACCCAAGATCCACCAGGGAAACATCTGTCGCTAACCTGGTTTGGCTCTGGAAAGAATGATGTCGGGTCAGGTAAAAAAACAAAACGATACAAAACATTGGCCCCAAACTCTACCTCTCCCTTGCTGTGGGGCCTCAGGTCACCTAACATCTCTGGGCTTTTGTCTCCTGGCTGCAAAATAAAAACTGCCTTGCCCTAGGGACTCTATCTCCTTAGCCTTTCCCCACGTGTGCCCACCCCACCTTGGCTGCACCCACCATCTGCCTGGTCTGCTGGAGCTGGGTGTTGAAACCCTGCAGCTGCCTGGCCACCTGGCCCGCCGTCCGGAAGGCCCCCCCAGCTCTGGGGAGGGCCCCTCTGCAGTGAGAGCCACATGCCGTGCCGTTGTCTCGGGGACACAGCTCTCCAGGGCATGCTCCTGGGGTACAGGCCGTCTGCCTGGCGCCCCCACAGAGCTGTGGAGAGAAGGAGACGTCAAAGAGGGTACCCAAGGCTCTTCAGCAACCACTCCTGTCCCACACCCAAGGAACAAACTGCCAGACATCTCCATGGCAACCAGGCACCAGAAACTTGTTTCCTTGGCAACCGCGGAGCACACCGTGAGGGGCCAAAGATCAGGGTGGGTCGGGGGAGTAGGGCAGGGGCACACTGCCCTTGTAGGAAATGTATGGCAGCAGCTGGGGCACGACAAGCTGGAGCAGAGGGATCTGGGAAGTGGGGCTCCATTGCCACGAGTCACCTTGTTGATGGTGGGCGTCAGATCAGGCAAGGAAGCCATCCTCCGGCTCAAGGCGGTGAGCTGGGGGTCTCTGGCTCCCGCTCCTCCCCCCACCTGCCGCTCCAGCCTCTCTGCCTCTCTCCGGATGTCCTGGAGCTGGTGGAGCAGGTGGGAGCCCTCAGAGACCCGCTGCGCGGCCTGGGAGGAGCGCTGGTAGGCAGCGGTCAGCACCCGGAAGGCCCCTGTGGGAAGGCCAGGGGAGAACTGAGGAGCCTCTGGCTCGACCTGGAGGCCTAGACGCAGAGGCGATCCAGAGCAGAGCCCGGGGTGGGGTGGTGTGGTGGCGGCGCCCTCCTCACCTGAAGGATCTGCACTGCTTATCCTTTCAAACTGTTCCTTCTTGCTCTGATACATAATGAGGAGGCGATTGAGGCTTCTGTCCAGATTCTCCAGGTCTCCCAAGAGGGTCAAGGTCTCGTCCGGTAAGGCCAGATCAGGCTTCAGGCCCTGGAGAGTCCGCCTGGGACGGGAGAAGAGCTTTCGCTAAGATACGGGAGAGGCTACCTCCCCAGAGCCAGGCCAGCCCCTCGGAGAAACCTCTCTGAGTCAGGAAAAAGGCAACAGAATGCAGACCCTACAGGCTGAGGAGGATTCTGCAGGAGAGAAGCACAACCCCCCAACCCCCCATCCCGCAGCAGCAGATCACAAGAACCTCTCCTTCCTTGACTCGTGTGCCTTTACATTCCCCGGCCTGCTCCACCTCCCACAGCTGGCTTTCCCCCTGAGGAGCATCACCTCAACCTGTTCCTCCCCAGCTCAGCCACCTGCGTTACCTGCTTGCGGGGCTCCCAAGTCTCTCCTCTGCAGCCCACCCTCCCCACGAGCAGCCATAGTTGTGACCCACTGGTCATCTCCACCGAAAAGGGGTCAGGATCCACCAGCCCTGGCCCACAACCATTGAGCTTTCAGAGATTCCTCTCTCCCAAACCCCTTTGCTGGTCTACCAACCACTAACTCCCACAAGCTTTGCATTCTTTCCCTACAGGCTTTGCTCTGGCATAGAACATCTTTCCACGGAACACCCTTCCATGCCTGCCTTTCCAGTCTACCAAATATGTATGGACTCACTAGTCAAAGTTGATACTTAGGTCAACTGCACTCCTGGATGGCTCTGGGCACTGAGAAAGTCAACTAGTGCTCGGGGAATGCAAACTAATTATAGAAACTTCCAGAACCAAACCTTATAAGAAGGCACCCCTGCTGGTAGGAAGGAGGTGTGGGTGGGACCGCTCCCATTCCAAAGGCAAATACAAGTTATTTTTAGAGCCCCTGCCTCTCCAATGCCCTGCACCAGGGTGACTAATCCAGAGCTGACTCTCCCACAGGCAGCACCGGGCACTTGAAAGAACACTGGGGCTCCTGCCTGCACTCTCAGCTCTGCCCCTCAGTGGCTGCATGACTCTGTCACATCACCTATCTGTGCCTGTCTCCCCATCCACAAAATGCAAGTAATAACACTCACCACACCAGCCTCATAGGACTGTTGGGATAGTTCAAAGAAAGAGCATATGTGGAAATGCGCTGTCAGTTGTACAGGACTGTACCAGTGGAAAGAAGGACCAGTGTGGGCCACTTAGGTGAACCCATGTGATGTAATTCAAAGTGCTTGGCAGGGGAAGGGAAATCACCTGATGGAGAAGATGGCATTGGCCACCTGGGACACCTCCCGCTCGGTGACTGAGGCACTGCCGAGAATTGCGTGGATCTGTTCCATCTTCCTTTTTGCATCCATGATCCGGGCAGTCATGCCAGGATCCTCCAGACGCAGCCCGGGCCGCAGGCTGGCAGTGGTATTGCGCAGGCCGCCGAGGCGCACGGCCTGCCCCCGGAGGTCAGCCTCATAGCTCTGGAAGCAAGGGTGGCAGGCCACACACACAGGGAAGCGGTCACAGTAACCTCGTTGGCATTGGTCACAGCGGGGTCCGGTCAAACCGGGACGGCAGAGGCAGCGTCCTGTGGCCTTGTCACAGCCTGGGCCCTCTGTTCCCCGGAAGTCACAGTCACAGGCTAAGGCGGGGAAAAAATGACGGTCAGGGTTGGGTGTCAAGAAAATAAAGGCACCTTGTGGGGAGAGCCTGAAGCAGAGGCCTAGCTTCAGGCTCAGTCCATGTGGCTTAGAATAATAGACCGTCAAGGCCAGAATAAAGTCAGGGCAATGCCAGCCAAGAAAGCAAGCCCTCACTTAGCAACTACTATGCACCCGGCACTGCTCTAAGTCAGACACTCACTGACTCACCCTTGAACTCGCTTTAACTTCGCAGCCACTCTGTGACAGAGTTAACCTCCCTTATTTTCCCGCTTGTATAGATGAAGCAACAGGCACAGAGCTATTAAGTGCACTGTGCTGTCAGGAAACCGAGGTCTTGGCAGAAACCACCCGCTCCAAGTGGCTCCGTAGGACAGAGGCCACGCTGAGAGCAGAGCTGGGTCTGCAGGCTCTAAGTTCCACGCTCGCTCGTGTGGCTGCTTGTCAACTGACTCGGGGGGAAATTTATACCTTTCCCTCAGGACTCACTTTCTCCATCAAGGAGGGAACTCCTCCCCTCCCTGCCCCTCCCCTGGAGAGGACTTCTGGGAAATGCTGTCTCGGGCAAGTGGGGAGAAAAGCAACCCTCCTGTCATGGGGACAGGGGGGTGGCCTGACGCCAGCAGGCTCTGGGGTTGGGAGGCTAAGCGGGCTGGCTGGCTGGAGCAGCTGTGGGGAACTTGTGCTCTCACGGAGCTGCCGGGACCTACACCACCTGTCCCAGTACCGGATATCCTCCCAAACCACAGACCCACCCGGCCGCCCCCCACCAGGAGCCCGCCCCCCCGCCAAGACCCCGCCCCCGCCAAGACCCCGCCCCCCAAGAGCCCCGCCCTCCCCGTTGCCTCAGCACCGCCCCACTCAGGAAGCACCCACCTCGGCACCCCGTGCCTGTGTCTCCATAGGTCCGGTCGGGACACTGGCGGAGGGCTGCAGCGCCGCAGGTCAGGCCGCCAAACCCTTCTCGACAGGGGCACTGGCCTGTGAACTGTGAGGGAGAGCACCGTGAGGGAGCCTCCCAGGCAGGCCTGGCCTTGCCCTGGTATTGGCGACTGTGTCCCAGATCCCGGGTCAGCACACTGATCGAGTGTGCCCCCAAAACAATGGCTCCCATTCAAAGACAAGCTCTGAAGGCAAAACCCCGAATGGCCCCGCAGGTACGACGAACGGGGCGTTGCAGAAGGCTCAGAGCCACAGAGGGAGGGAGATCAGACAAGTGCGACTTCGGAAAGACCCAGAAGGGCAGTGCTGGGGGGAGACAGAGGCTGGTGGGCAGGGCCCCTTTCCTCCTTGTACCTGGTTGCACTGGGGGCTGAGGGAGTTGTGAGGGTCACAGGCACATGGCTCACAGCCCCGGCCGCTGGCCAGCTTCCAGTGGTAGGGAGCGCACTGGTCACATTTGGGGCCCACCACGTGCGGTAGACACAGGCAGCGCCCACTCTCCTCATCACACGGCATGTCCCGACGAGACCCCAGGATGTTGCAGTCACAGCCTGCAGGAGGGAGGGTACTGAGCTCACAAGGCAACCGAAACGCGCCCCCAGGGGACACCCATCAGGAAGAGGACCCAGCCCGGGGAAAGAACCAGGCACGGTCATTCTTTCCAGATAACCTGCCTGACTCACGAGGTCCCTGCGCTTTCCTCCCTGGCACCTGGCAGCTTGGCCACCCACCCTCCAACCCCCTCCCACTGGCCGACTCAGTCCCACCTTCTAACCCCGGGCCTGTGCTGCCACCTGCTGGAGGCCCGTGGCACAGCATCTGGCTCACACCGCGGTGAGGCCCGTCAGCACTGTGGTGGCGGGTGCAATCTTCCCGGTGAAATCCCTGACTGGGTCCCCCTACTCACGGTGGCAGCCCTGCGGGTTGGCATAGGTGAGTCCTGTGAATCCCGGCTTGCACAGGTCACAGCGCTCCCCCTGCACGTGCTCCTTGCACACGCACTGCCCAGTCACTGGGTCGCAGGGAACCCCGGGCACTGCCCCATCAGGATCACACTCGCAGGCTGACACACAGAGCAGCCACCACAAGAAGAAGAAAGAAAAAGGCAGAACGTTAAGAGCAGGCTGTAGAAGCTAGACTGCCTGGTTCACATCTTTATCCCACCACGTACTGGCTTACAACCTTACAACCTTAGTCAAGTAACTTGAGCCCTCTGTGCCTCAGTTTCCTCGTCTGTAAAATAAGGATCATTATACAACTCTCACAGGTTTCCTGTGAGAAACAAATGAGTGAATGAGATGCAGATGGAACAGCGCTTGGCCCATGTTAAGTACTATAGAAGTTTCTGTTGTCATTATTTACCGAATGACTGCTATATGCCAAGTGCTGACTGTGTACCCATGCATGTTGCCCTATAGAGTCCTCAGGATAACCCTAAGAGATGGGAGCACACTGAAGGTCACACAGCAAGTCACTGTGGGAAACAGAAGTCAACTCTTTCCATAAACAAATAATATCAACAGGAAGTAAGCCAGCTTCTCCAACTCCCACACCTAGACCTCTGGCAAGCTTTTCAGAATGCAGATTCTTCCTGCCTCTGAAAAGTCTATCATGATTAACCCTGCCTGATTCAGATTGCTTCAGTCCATTTTGCTCTCTCATGTACAACCTCACTGGCCCCAGAGGACATGCTAAGTCACTCCCGGGTGTTCAGTGCATGTGTTTGTTCACTAAACATCTCCTGAGCCACGTGCCTGCCGTTGCACGTATGAGACATGATCTCCGCTGTGGAATAGTTCTCAATATTGGGGGAAATAGAAAACTACGGAGCAGGCCACAATATAACATGGTAAAGACAATAACATATATATATGGACCAAGTACTTAGTCTGCCTTTTCCAGTGATTGAAACAGTGTGTATGTTTCTTGACAGCAGGAATTATGTCTTATATTTACTTTTGTCCCTCCTGTGTCTAGAATAAGGGATACACAGGGGCATGTGGGTGGCTCAGTTGGTTAAACATCTGCCTTTGGCTCAGGTCATGATCTCAGAGTTCGTGGGTTTGAGCCCCACGTCGGTCTCTGTGCTGACAGCTCAGAGACTGGAACCTGCTTCAGATTCTGTGTCCCTCTCTCTCTCTGCCCCTGCCCTGCTCACGCTCTGTCCCTCTCTCTCTCAAAAATGAACATAAAAAATTATTTTACTTTAAAAAAGCACACAAAACAAGTGCTACATAATGATTAACTGACTGATTGATTGATGATCCAGAGAAGTGAAGTGATTTACTTAGAAATGCCCAGCTAAGTTAATATAATTGTGGGGCACCTGGGTGGCTCAGTCGGTTAAGTGTCCAACGTGGGCTCAGGTCACGATCTCATGGTTCGTGGGTTCCAGCCCCGTTGGTCTCTGTGCTGACAGCTCAGAGCCTGGAGCCTGCTTCAGATTCTGTGTCTCCCTCTTTCTCTGACCCTCCCCTGCTCACTCTCTCTCTCTCTCTCTCTCAGAAATAAATAAAACATTAAAAATTAAAAAAAAAAAAAAACAACTGCCCACAAGCCCTGGCAAACAACCAAGTCTTCGTGCTTCCTGAGGGCTGTGTGTCCCCAGGGCCACATGCTCTGTCGTGCCCAGAGAGGATGGGGAGTAATGGGCGGACGATACCCTGGGTCCCCAGAGCCCCTACTTACGGATACAGGTCTCTTGAATAGGAGCGCCAGGACGCCTGTTGCGGAAATAATGCAGCTGACACCGCTCACAGTTCTTGCCCTCGGTGTGGTGCCGGCAGTCGTCACACACACCTCCGTGTGCCCCCTGGCTAGCGGCAAACACAGCTGGGTCGAAGTGACAGGTCTCAGAGTGCCCATTGCAGTCGCATGCTGAAAAAGGACATTCACAGGGCTGACTGTGGACCAGCACCACCGCCATCCACAAAGTGCATTCCACGCTATCGCACTAGCATCTCTTGCAACTCTGCAGCATGTTCAGGTCTAGGAAACGAGGAAACTGAGGCCCGGGGAGGCTTGTGCGACTTATTTAAGGTTATATGGCCAGTAAGAAGGCAGAATAGCATAAGAACGCAGGCCTCCTAACTCTCAATGTGGAGACCCACCCAAAAATCATGTCTGTGTTGGGCCAAAGAGAGAGCCCATTGAATAGTTCACCCCAACCCTCCCCGACTGCCACCATGGATCTCCTCCTGGGCTGCTGCCTCTCTCTGGGCTGGGGACCCTTGTCTCCCTCCCTTCCGCAGAGAAAGGCCCTGACTATAGGGGGTCCTGTGAAGCAGGGAACCAGATTAAGTCCTACACAGGACAAGACCAGTGGAGGGGACAGAAGATAGAGGACCTGAGGTTACCAGGAAGCCATATGGCATGAGAAGGAAGGACCAGCCTTGGTCCCTTCAGGCCTGGCTGAGGAGAAAGCCTGGTTAGGCAGAGGGCAGTTGCAACCTAAACTCTCTCCATCTCCACAGAGCAGGGAGAGCTTACACTACAGGGGTGCGATTAAGATTAGATTTAAATAATATCCCAGGTGAGACCATTGAGGCCCAGAGGGGCCAGCACCCCACCCAATCACCACAGGGGAGGAGATGAGTTTGGGACCATACGCTGGCATTCATGGGGGTCCTGGTCATCTGCAGGTCTCCAGGGCCGATTGTTGTAGAAGGGCGCACAGCGTTCACAGTTGGGGCCGGCGGTGTTGTGTTGGCAGACGCAGATATCGTGGACCTGGAAAAGGAGCCACCAGCCATCAGGAATAATCATCAGAGGAATGTGCCAGTGATGGACCTGCCCTCTCCCCTCTAATCCTCCTACCCACAACTCAGGATCCAGTTCAGACCCCACCTCTTCCAGACTTCACTTGACTCCAGGGACCCTTTCAGCTGCCTGCTTGTGTGTGTGTGTGTGCGCGCGCACACACAGGCTCAGATACGTGTACCTGCCCTCCTGTTCTAACTAGGTTTTTAAAAAGCTCATTCTTTGCCCTTGGACATCTCCATGATGCCCCGTCCAAGTCAGCACCTGGGAGGTGCCCAGACACCCTTACTGGTAAACTAAGTTTCTAGAAGCTTGTGGGCCCTCTGGAGATTTATATTGCAGCAATCTTTGACTACGGCTGTTTGGCTAATGGGACTGCTGTGATAAATTGTTACCAGACTTATTAAGATATAAAACTAGAATAGCAATTGTGTGCTCATTGTCTTCCAAATGGAGCCCCACACCCTCAGCCTGGTGTTAAAGACTCGTATCATGTTTGCCTCATCTTCATTTCCCACTCGGACAGCACGGCCAAGCGGCACCTCCAGCCGCATCCTGTATAAGCCCTGCTTTCCCCCACCTCTCAGCTGTTACTGAGGATTTTCTTCCTGCTTGGAATTCCCTTCTTTCTCTAGTCACCAGTACAACCCGGCCCACTAGAATGGCGCCTTCTTCACCAGGCCTCCCTGGTTCCACTAATTCTGTGGATCTCAGCCCTGGGCGCAACTCCAGAATCATGTGGGGAGCTTTTTTACAACTACCACTGCCAGGTCCAACTCAATCCAAATCTTCGGGACAAGGCTCAAGCATGGGTGCTTTTCAAAGTGGTGATTCCACTGTGCAGCCAGATTTGGGAGCCCCTGGTGTGCCCCGTCCCTCCCCTACATCCCACAGCACACTGTACTGGTCATCCATCAGCAATCAGGTTCTGCCTCGGTTCTACTCATTTGTCTCCAGGCCCTAATAGATGACACATTCCCAGAGCTGGTCTCCCTCTGGCCGACGCTGCAGCCCTGGGTAGGGGCTGGCCCAGAAGTGGGAAGGATGTGGCTGACCAGAGTTCACTTCACCTGTATTTCCCTCTAGGCCCTTTTACATGATTTCCTCGTGACTCTCCATCACTAGGGTGAATGAGCTCCCATGTGTTAATACAAGAACTGAAGCTCCAAAGAACAGAAATGACAGCTGCTTCTGCTTCTGGGGCAAAGTTTTCTCTCCTCTGCTGACATTTCCTGTGTTTGGTTTCACAGAAAAACCCCCAGGGTTGCTAGTGAAGCTGGAGCTTCCCTCTCCCATCCCTGATGCATCTGACTCAGTAGTCAGATGATCTGGGGTACACTCAGCATCCACCTTATCTGTTCTCTCTCACCTTGCCCCATGTTCACCACTAGATGGGACTCTAGAGTCCCCAAACCAGTGGCTCTCCACCCTGGCGGTGCTGAGAACCACCTGGGAGCTTTAAAAACCAATAATAAACTTGGAGTATTTGAGGATGGACATCTGGACACATTCTTTTTGTTTTGTTTTGTTTTAGCTCCCCAGGAAATTATATGTAGCCAGCACTAAGCAGCGTCTCCATAAGCGCCAGGCAAGACCCACAGATTTGCTTATGTGTAACTGAAAATCAAACCATTACAAACCATTACTAAAAAACCATAAGGCAGGCGTAAAGAAGTGCTACAAAATTCTGATCTTTGAAATGATAATTAGACTATTTTTTAACTGTTCCTAAAATGTTAAATACCCCAGATCTTAAATTTAGTGCCCTCGTTGTTTTATAAGAACCCCAAGAACATCCTTAGTGTGCTTTGGTCTTGCTCTCTCCCCTCAGCCCTTCCCACCCGGGGCTGTCACCTGCACGGTGGTGGAAGGTCCAGCAGAGGCTCCAGGCTTAGGGGCACAGCGGTCAGCGTGGCCGTGACAGAAGCAGCTCCCTTGTAGACGCAGCTGGGACACTGCGTAGTAGGCACTGGGGGCGTGATAGCCTCTCTGGGACACGGGGGCCAGCCTGGTGAAGTTGATTCTCAAGTTTGTGATTTCTCCCAGCTCTGAGAGGGGGCAAACAACAAGGAGGGATAGGGTTGGGGAAGGGAAAAGGAAGAAAGGAAGTTAGAGGCAAATAGAGTCTCCAAGGGCAGGACGGATAAGGAAAGGAATTCTGATCTCACCATCTAGTCTTCCCAGCCTCCATAAGGTTGGTTATATCAGGGGCCATCCTCCTCAGCCCTCAACCCAGCAGGAAAGACCCCTGAATTCAACCCAGGCCTCCTGAGTCTGCCACACAGACTGATGGAATAAGCAGGGTGAGTATTAAATCCAACCATATTCACAGAAATAGGAAGGACCAGGCAATATCTATGCCCCAAGTTCCAACCAACCAACCATGGCAAGTCCCAAGATCCAAGTTTTGTTCCCCACCCACAGTTCTGCCACAAACAAGGGAAGTTACCACACTGACCTTGAATTTTTTTACTTTGAGTTGCTGGAATCCCAGATGCTAAATCCATAATGTTAAGTTGAACCTACAGAGACAAGGAAAGGGAAGGCCTGCAGAAGAGGTAAATGGGATGCCCAGCGCCCCTTTCCACCAATGCTCCATCCCTGTCAGACTGCTCTGAGGCCCTTCTCACCTTGAACCTGAGTAGACCATGGATATGAGGCCTGCCAACAGCACTGAGGGAGTGAGGTGATCACTGGGCCCTGTGTGTGTGTGTGTGTGTGTGTGTGTGTGTGTGTGTATGCGTGCGGGTGCGCGTTTGTGTGTATGTAGACAACCGAGCTTCTCCATTTAAAAATACAGATATCCCAAGAATTTCCTGATTTCCTTGGGTCAAAAATAATGGTAAGATATACAATGTACACATGAGGGTTTAGGTAATGCTAATTTTCCAAACACCTAGAATGAACAAGAAGGTCCAGGGCCCAAAGATTCATGGATGTGGTGACTACCCTCTAGACAACCCCATTTTCAACTATGCTTTTCCTTTTTAATAAAAACCATTCAGGGGCACCTGGGTGTCTCAGGCAGTTGAGCGTCAGACTCAATTTCAGCTCAGGTTATGATGTTGAGGTTCCTGAGATCAAGCCCTGGGTCAGGCTCCACACTGATCATTGAGCCTGCTTAAGGTTCTCTCCCTCCCTCTGCTCCCCCCCCCCCACACGTGTGTGTGTGTGTGTGTGTGTGTGTGTGTGTCTAAAAAAAAACCAACACGAAAAAAACAAAAACAAAAAATCCCATTCATTGTATGGGACTTCATCTGCATATTCCAGAGTTTTCATGTCAACCTTCCATGGATCAGGAAAAAGTCCTGTGTTCAGATCTGGAGTCTAGGGACTGTGGTTAACACGCATGCAGGTTCTGCTGTGACCCAGGAGGACTTGCTCTGGGGAAGGAAAGAGGCATCACCCACAGGGAGGGCAGCGCTCTGAGCACTGGGTGCCCTGGAAAACAGCTCTGAAGGCTGCTGCAGCCTGAACCAGAGAAGGAAGGATGGAGAACACAGACGCCCTCCAGCGGCAGCTGCTGGGCGGTGAGGGGAAAGGCAGAAAAGAAATGCAAGAATCTGACCCCAAGTGAGAGGCGTAGAGTTGGGGAGAAAGTTCTGAGCTGTTTCTAGAAGCAGTTTCTCCGTTCTATCTCCGGGTTTAAGTTCCAGTGACCCAGAGCTATGGCTTTTACCTGAATTTTCCCAAGAGTCAGATGGAGGGATTAATCTGAGAAGGCTCGTTCTGGTGTTAAACCTTACCAAGGTGAAATCAGAGATCAAATTAAATGTGTGTACTTTGCACACTTGAATCCAACAACCATCTCAAAGTCCTTGCACTGAAGCAGAGTGCATTTTACCCTCTCCACCGTGGGGATGTGCCAACGAGCTGGGAGCGGTGGCTATGGAAGAGGGCAAGAGTGCGGGGTTGGACTATGCAGGGCTCTCGATGTGGTTTTGAAATATTCCTCCTGAGTAGCAAACGGGACAAACAGCAGATATTCTGACAGTGGCCAGAGAGGTCATTATTGGAGGGAGCAGAAAAGACAGCAAGGTGCACTGACCTCTTCTCCAGGGGCTGGGTGACCGTGTGAGCAAATGTGAGATCAGGGACCTCCCCTTCCCCAACAACCTGTGCCTATTTTTCCGAGTCCCCTCTACCTACCTTCCCCCCATCCAGGTGCCCGTTAGGCCTCTGGGGCAGGGACTGACACCGAACATCCTGCCAGCTCTGAGGCTGGCCCTGGCGGACCCGGGGGAAGACGGAGGCGCAGTCGGCAGCCAGGTACTGATACACCTGCCAGTTGTTACCAAAGTCCGCGGAGCGCTCAATCAGCATCCCGGCCGGCAAGGGCCCCTGCAGAGACACAGTCACGGTGGGGGCCTGAGTGAAGAGACAGGACCACTGGAGAGACACCATCGCCGAAAACGGCTCCTAAAGATGCACTGGCGGTCCCTGAGAATCACAGCGAGGGAGGGAGAACGGGGCGAGAAGGAGCAAGTGGGCTTCAGGCATCCAGGTCCAGTGGCAGACATCCTGGCCAACACTGGAAAGCCCCATCGGATTTTCTCCAGGGGAACCGTGGAAAGTGGGAGAAAGGTGACCCATGATCCCTAGCTCAGCCCACCATGCAGGTCGTGGGGCCAGAAAATCCTCCCACTGTGCTTCCCACAGCCAGCTTTCTGGGCCCTCCAAACCTCTCTCCCCATGTCACTGGAGACGTCTTCCTAGATGACTCCCTGACCCTGTCACTCCTGCTCGAGGCCCCTCAATGGATGTGCAAGAGCTAGAGAGAAATGCGAGCTTCTCGGTATAACACATTGTGACCTTCCTCCCCATTTCTCGTGACTTTCAATGCTGCCTTCATGCTGACGGCTCCCAGCCTGGACCATTTCCTCCAAACGGACCCACATCAGGCCCTGTCTCCAGCTTCGGCACACAGCCCTCTGATGTCTCAAGTCGGTGCCACCTGATTTCCCTGTTCACTTTCACCTCCACTCCCTCCCGCCATACAGACAGAATGTCCTTTTTAAAGCATAAAATGGACTGTGTCACTCCTCTGCTAAAAAGCCTAGAATAGCTTCACACTATTCTTTTTTTCCAGCTTACTGAGATCTTATTGACACATAATATACGTAAGTTTAAGATGTCCAATGGGGTGGTTTTTGACAAATGTACAAACTGCAAAATGATGACTGCAATAATTAATGCGCCCATCCCCTCACATAATTACCATTTTGTGTGTGTGGTGATAACAGTTAAGCTTTATACTCTTAACCACTTTCAGGTATACAATAGTGTTGTTAAGTACAGTCACCATGCTGTATATTAGTTTTCCAGAACTTACTCATCTTGTAGTTGGAAGTTTGTAACCTTTGACCAACCCCTCCCCATTTCCCCCACCCCCGGGGCCCTTTAGATTCCACATGTCAGTGAAAACACACAGTGTTTGTCTCTTTGTCTGACTTATTTCACTTAGCAGAATGCCCTCAAAGTCCACTTATGTTATCACAAAAGGCAAGATTTCCTTCTGTTTTTATAGCTGAATATCCCCTTGTGTATAGATATATAGCTAGAGATTACATTTTCCTTGTCCATTCATCTACTGACGGACACTTGGCTTGTTTCCATGTCTCGGCTATTGTGAATAATGCTACAGTGAACATACGGATACAGATATCTCCTCGAGAGAGTGACTTCATTTCCTTCCGATATAGACCCGGGTGGAATTGCTGGATCATATGGTAGTTCTATTTTTAGTCTTTAGAGGACCCTCCATATTATTTTCATTAGCGGCTGCACTAATTCGCATTCCCACCAATGGTGCATAAGGGTTCCTTTTTCTCCACATCTTCGCCAACATGTACATCTTGTCTTTTTGATACTAGCCGTTCTAACAAGCATGAGGTGATATATCAGTGTGGTTTTGATTTGCATTTTTCTGAAGATTAATGATGTCGAGCATCCTTTCATTTGCCTGCTGGCCATCTGTATGTCTTCTTGGGAGAAATGTCTACTCAAGTCCTTTGCCTGCTCTTCCTGAATAATTCCAAACCCCTGACCAAGGGTGAAGAGGTCCTGTCTCCTCACCTCATCTCATGTCCTGTGCACCTCCATCTCTTCAAGCCGTGGGTCATGCCACATTCATTTCCTCCTCAGAGGCCTTTGTTCAGGTTGTTTCTTCTGCCTAGAATGTTTTTTCCCCAGTGGGTTCCTTCTCACTTTTTGTTCTCAGCTTAAATGTCACTTCCCCACAAGATTTTTTTATACCTATCTAGCATGCATTCTTCTGCCCACACTCTGCCCACCCTGCCTCATTCCAGCATTTTCTTTGTTTCCTTCATAAATATCACCACAATTTCCAATAATTTATTTGTTAGCTTCCTGCATTTTCTTCCACTCCAGGGGCCCAGGTTTCCCAGCCTTGACACTGTTCGTATTTGGAGTGTGATAAATCCTTGCGTGGGCTATCCTGATCACTGTTGGATGGTTAGTAGCATCCCTGACCTCTACTCACGAGATGTCAATTGATGTGTAAGTCACACCCATAGCTGTAACAACAAAAAACGTCTCCAGAAATTGCCAAATACCCCCCAGTTGAGAACCACTACAATAAACCATAGGCCTCACTGTCTGTCTCATGCACAGTTGTCCCCTCAACATCTAGCACACAGGAGGCATTTAGTCATTTGTTGAATGAATGGATGAATCTTTAATCTACTTACCCCCTCCCATTTATGTCTGTAAACTCATCTCTCACCAGCTTGTAGCCTTCCACATCCTTCCTTCTTATCACCTTATACATATTTTCTCCTCTAGACTCTATGTGCATTCCCTTGCCCCCTCCCCAATTACATACCTTCTTGCCTCTTGCCTCCAGGTCTTTGCACTTTATGGTTTTCTTTTCCAGAAGGAACTATGTCCTTTACCTGGTTATCAGTGGCTTACAAAGGTTCATCTTTCCTGGGTACATTCTGTGACTCACCCCTCCAAAGACAGACCAAATTGGATGCCTCACTCTGTGCTCCCCAGCACCTCTTCCTAATCACAGTACATATCATGTCTTCTCATTGTTGGTCTTTTGTCTCCCTAACATACACTAAAGCAATGTAACAACCATGATTTAGCTTTATTCATCTTTTTACCCCTAACATCTGGCAGCAGACCTTACGTATAACCAACCAGTGTTCAATATGTGCGTAGCAAGAATGGACAAATGAATGAGAGAGCAATGGAAAAGCAATGTGACTAACTATACCCATCCAAATGAATGTTGCCCTTCAACGCTGTCACCTTTAGAGACTGGGCATTTATTCAAGTGATACTGCCATTTCTCAAAATACTTTTGACCTTTTCTTGAGGAGAGGATCTCAGAGTTAACCTTCTGAGTCAAGTTAGAAATTAGATCCTATTGCTTCTTATTCGCAGCTCATTTTAACTTCTGAAAATGATTTCACCCTTCCTGATCTAATCTTATTAACCAAGCCTGATCTTTAAATTTTTGACTATTTCTATAGAAAGAATAAAACTGAATCTTCACTGGGAAAAAAAAATGCCCTGTGAGAAATGAACAAAAATGTTCCCTCCAAAAGGAGTATCTCAGGATGCTAGTCTACAAGCAGAATCCAAAGTATTCTGGGAAGTAATAGTGAATGAGTAGATTGTCCAGCAAGAGGCATGTTTCAAGAGCACATGTTTCATGAGGATGGGCCACTTATTGGCTATTTGTTAAACTCAATCTCATCAGCAAAATTATTAAACACACCAAGAATACACAACTGCATAATAATTGACCAGGCCAAATGGAATTGGGACTTAGCAGAGCCAAATTAATTAGACGGGATGAGGATGAGGGACGCAGAAAAGGAAGTGGATATATAACCACTGCAGGGCCAGGACAGGAGGGCCTGGAGGTGCCACTCTGCTCCCAGGAGTGGACTTCTGCTGTCACCATGGTACAGACTCAAGGTAAGTGTCACCTCAGCCTATGGAAGTGGAGCCTACCCACCATATGATGCCATCACCCTAAGCCAAGGGAGACAAGGACACTGTGCTTCTCATATGCCCAAGCCCACAAGGCCCATGGTCCCCCTCTCCCATCCACCGCCATGCTTAGGAAGCACACCTTAAAATCCATCATGATGTCTTGAAGCTGGAACCTCCTGTCCAGATCCAACTGCAGAGAGACAGGGTTCACGTCTGGAAGGACAAAAAGCAGAAAGTTTAGACCAGAGAGATTCTATCTTCCCAGCCCTGAAGAAGGCCCTGGACTCTACTAGCTCTAGGAAGTCAGAAACCTCAATCCTTCAATTCTCCTCTTGGAGAGGAATGGTACCAGCTTACTTTAACTTATATTTCCTATTCAAGATCCTATCTATCCTTGGCCAAATTTCCTTCCCATCATCTCTTGATGACCCTAATACACTAAAGGATTTCAACTTGTCTGTTCTACAAGCCCCATTCCTTCAATGAGCTCATTGTAACTAAGTGGGGTGAAATAAAGGCATTTCTCTCTCACTCTTCTTATCCATTTCTTGACTTCCAGTAAATTCTTCTATCTACAGCATTCAAAAGATCTCAAATACAGAGGGAGTGGGTGCTGCCTGTCCACCACACATGTCCCACCTCCATAAGAAATGCCTGGGACACCCCCAAGGGTTCCCAGACACCCTCCGGCCACCCCCATGCTGTGGGAGCCTCCACCAGTTTAGGCCCCTATAGGTGGCTAGTGCTTACCATTCTGGGATTGCCACCAGCGCATGGGGCCCGAGGATGAAACCACATTCTCCACTCGGTGACCATTGTAATTGTGAGGCAACCTGGAGTCACATTTGCAGCATTTCATCCGCCACTGAGGGACAGGGAGACAACAGAGCCTTGTGGGTGGGGTCCAGGGAAGACTCTTCCCTATGTCCTGAGAGCCTAGAACATTTCCTCTGTGAAACCCCACCTCCAGGGATTCACTGATTTCATTTATACCTTTGGAAGGATTAGCCTCTTAAAACAAGGCTATTGGTCATCTTTGAACTTAATTCTTTCATCTCCCTTCTAACACATAGAGAAGTGAATACTAAATAGGCATTTCTGCCAGGAAAGAGATGCGAGGTGGCAGCAAACTCTGGTACAGAACATTGCCTCAAAGAAAAATTTGAAAAGAGTACCAGAAGCGAAAGAAGAAAAGATGAGAGATTCATTTTAATTTAGCATCTTCTGTGTGCTAGGTACAGGCTAGAGAGTTTTAGATCTCATCTGACCTAATCCTGGAAGACTAGAGAAAACTGGGTTTCTAAGCATCAGGGAGAGGGGACACAGCAAAAAAGGACAAGGGAATTTGGAGTTTCAGCCCTAGCTCTGTTACCCCATTTTCTAGGCTCAGTTTTCTCCTCTGCAGATTGAGTGGAGGTTGGAATAGAGTCATTCAATCATTCAGACAATACTTGTTGAGTGTGTACTATGTGCTAGACCCTGCTCTGGGCCCTGTTTCGTGAACAAAATGAAGACTCTGCCCTCAGAGAGCCAACATTCTAATAACATTTGGATGATCTCAAAGGCCTTCCAGCACTGACATCTGAGACTTGAGGACCCTTCACAGATTTGGCATTCCCTACCCATAGGAGAGAATCCAAGGGCACCCAACTCAATGGAGCTTTGTAGGTAAGGTCCCAAGGCCAGGAATGTTGCGGCCTTGGGGCTGAGGGCAAGAGTTCTCGCATGAAGATCAAGGCAGCCAAAAAGGAAACAGCCTCACTGGGGAGCTTCCCCCAAAAATCACACCTTCTTTGGCCCGCCCATGCTCTGGAGTAATACAAGAGACAGAACTGAACCCCGTGGGTTCCATAGCAGGCGGGGATCACCAAGCAAAAGAAGAGAGCCATAGAACATGGCCCTTGTTCTTTAAGTTTGTGTGTGTGTGTGCGCGCGCGCACGTGTGTGCCTGTGTGCATGCACACATACCCCCCCAGAGACAGCACAACCTTGTCCCAGCTCCCTGATGGAACACAAATCAACTTTTTTTTCTCTGAGTAACCATGGTACCAAATCTTGTGCTCAGAGTAGAGAACACTATTCAAAGGGCTCCATATTCATCCACAAGTAGAAGCAAGGCTTGGACAAGAGCCTCCTTCTGGGTGGGGACAACCGTATCTCCAAACACCCATGCCTCTGCTTTCCCCTAAGGCCTCCACTCACCAGAACCAGGGGAAAGCTCTGGCTTATCCAAGGTCTTCCCGCTCCTGAACTTATGCCCTGCCCAGGGAAGGTGATAAGCCAATAAGGCTGATGTGATGTCTTAGAACGGGTAGTGTCTACTTGGACTGATTAACCTGACAGGTTAGTCCCAAAGGGATTGAGTTAGTATGCTGAGCCTGTGCCTGGGATTATGGGAACTCTTTGCCCAACACCCATATTCCCTCCCCATGGCTGACAAAGTTTGGGACAGTGCAGAAGGAGAAAGGGAGCCAGGAGTCCTGGCTCTTGAAAACTCTACTTCCCACCCCACTTTCCAACTCTCACCTCCATATGAGAGAATCGTCACCCATCCTGATGCTCGGAGGTTTCCTCATCATGATCAAATGTGTTTTATTAAACTATAATTTTTTGGTATTTAATGTTTAAATAATGGCTGGCCGTGTGCCCTATATGGAACACTCAGTGCCCCATCCATTCCTTGCCCAGCTACATTTTTCTTCAGGGTACATATCTCCACTTGAAATGTTGGGTTTTTATTGTCTATTTATTTGCTTATATTGTTTGTGTACCATCTGCCTCCTTCTGCGAAACATGTATACTCCTGAGGGCTTCCTTTCCTGTATCCCCAGTACTTAGAAAAGTGCCCAGCACATAGTAGGCCTTTAATACTTAATGAATAGCAAATATTCAATGACTGCTAACATTTTAATTATTACTAAACATTCCCTTCCTGCAGTCAGGGAGTTTAAAAGGAGGGTGGGGAAGAGAGGAGGTAATAGAACATCAATATTATGTGACAGAGAGCCCACCATGGGCTAGGTACTGTACCCAGGCAATAAGGAGTATTATTCCCATTTTACATCTGTGAAAGATGAGGCTCAAAAAGGCTACTGAGTTTTCTGCTTGACTGATGGCCAATGTGGGACCCAGCACCAACACCAGAGAGGGTCCCTTACCAACTCCCCCTCCTCTCCCTCTTTCCCTCTCTCCCCCTTTCTCTCTCCCTTCCTCCATCAATGTTACCGTCTCGCTTCTGCTAGGAAACAAGGTGGGTCCACAGACATCACGGAAGCATGGTAAAAGGTGACAATCTCTGTCTCACTCAAAGGGCTTGGCCTGATCCCGCAGCTGACCATGGGGGAGCGTAAGGTGGAGAAAGCGCTTTGGGAAGAAAGCTGGTTTCTCAGGCTGACCCAGCTCAGTTAACACAGAAACTGTAGATGTGTCAGTGGCTGAAATAAATACCTGAGCACTTAAAATAATCCTTTCTGGGCAAGAGAAGCCTCTTGCTGGAATCTGACTCTCCTCCAGAATCCTATTTTGGTCCCTGGCAGTGAGCATGCCCTTCTCCCCACTCTGCGCAGCCTCTCAGGGGCAAACTTTTCCACTCCCCATCCTCCGTCTGCACTCAGCACATGTCCTGCAGAGAGACAAGGGCCAGCTGCCTTCCGCTGCCTGTCACCAGAGCTCTCTCCTCAGCTCTGCTGGGACCCGATCCCAGCCTGTTCCCTGGCCAAATGAGCACCAGAAACAAGGCTCTTTCTTTCCTCAGGCCCGGGGCACAGGGGCTAGAACAGCTCAACCTGGAACTGCGGAAATGACCTTCATGGTCCCAAAGGATGAAATATTATGTAACTATTAAAAAGACTGGTCACAGGAAGTTTTCAATGACATGGGTAAAATGCTTGCCTTATAATGTTTTGTGAAGAAAGACAGTTGGGTATAAATGTGTATAGGTCATGATCAAATATATATGAAATATATACAGATATTTAAAGGAATATAATATAAATATAAATACATATAATATAAAAGGAATAAATATCTATATTTAAAGGAATAGAAAGTGTTTGGGAGGACATATACCAACAGATTAGGTTGAACCAGATGAAATGACTTCAGCCAATCTGACCTACAAAAATGGCAACCACATGCAGCTTAACCTAATATATCTGCGTAATAGGATAACAGGGAACTCTTTTCCTTATATGTTATTCTTTACTAATTTTAAACTTTAGCACGTTGGATATATATTCACTTGTATGCCCAGGAAAATAGACATTATTATAAAATTAAATAAATTATTAATTATTATAAAATCTCCAGGGTGTTCAGTATGGGCATTTTACTCTGCCTCCTGGCCCAGTCTTCAGAGTCAGCTGGGGGTAGCCAGTGCCCGCTCCACTTCCCGTCCACGTGTGCAGAAACTGATGGAAGATCAGATACCCTCGTGGACTTAAAACCTACGTGCTGCTTCTCATAGGAACATAGCTAAAGGAGGGATTTATTACAATCCTTAGAGACAGGCTAAGCCAACAGGCTTGGGCCAGGTATTTTAAGTAGCTCTGCTTGTCAACTAGCGAGCTGGATGGAGCTGGATGGAGACCTGAAATAGAGCAGCTTATGGCAGAAGCCCACGTGAAGATGAGCTGCTTTCTCTTTTCCTCTGTGCCTCAGTTTCCATTTCTATCTATTCTTGCATGCCTATACGAGTATGTGTATAAACATCTGTGTGTGTGATGATCAATGCGAGGTTCTTCCCTTCATGTGTGTTGGGCGCTTCCATCTCTCCCAGAGGTGGAAGCTCTCAGCTGCGGCAGCCTCCCTCCGGGGTCAACTAGCCAGCGTTCTCCTGGCTGCACTCTCTTAGAGACGCAACATTATTATCAGTTCAGCCTGTCAGGCTTCCAGCCAGTTTGGCTCCTACTTGCTCTCCATCTGGAAAGGTTGGGCCTCTTCCCTCATCCTAGAGCTTTCTAGAAGCTCAGCAGTCTGACGGGAAGACAAACCCTCCCAGAGAGCTAGGGGGAGGGCAAAGGAGAGAGCAAGAGCTAGCAGGAACCTGGATCACAGTGGAAATGGGTGGGAAAAGGAAGGTAAATGCACAGCGAAGCTCTGTGCCTTTGTAGAACACAGAGCTAACTCTAGGGGGAAATAGGAAAACAGCCTCTGGTTTTCATGGCCCAGCTCCCTCCCATGGGCAGGCCAGGGGCTGCCTGTGTCTATCTAAGGAGATATCATCAGGGTCATGGCTGCCAGCCAGGGCCTAAAGAAAGGAAGCTGAGACAAAAAAAAAAAAAAAAAAAAAATCCAGCTGCCTGAAAGAAAAGACATTCTCTCCACTTCAGCTTCCTCATTGTTAATATGCAGGGGTGGAATGAGATAATGAAGTTCCTTCTTGCTCTAACATGCTATTAGAATTCTTCTCTACTCCAGCTTATCTGCTCAGAAGTTTAAAACACTCCAAGCAAGAATGCAAAGGAAGGAATAAGAAGAAGAAAAAAAAAAGATACTGACCAGATGCCATACTGGAGCACTACTCTTCTCAGCTAAGTGCGCAGAAGAAGAAACCTTTAAGCCCCTTGGTCAGCAAGGCCTCCATTAGACCCCACTGGGATCCACAAGCCTCAGCCTTTCTATGTTAATGGATATTGCTGGTAAAGGTCAAAACTTGAATTCCCCTGTGGTGCTGAGTGGGAGGAAAGCTCTAGTTCTATAAGGCACTTTCAACTTCATCTTCTCTTATCATGAAATAACATCTTCACCAAAGCCTTAAGCATTGCCCTTATCACCATCCAAAGTAAGTTCAGTAGGCTGACTTTCTAGAGCTGATTAAAGATGATGTGTACCATACACCCAGAAATTACACTGCACCAGGCTCTC